ATTTTTCATACCATGCTGAATCACCTCAGGGAAGAGGGATTAGGCATCTTCACTCTGAAGCTTCCCAGGTGTGAGTTTCATGGCCAGAGGAGATTAGGGACACTCCGGATTAACACTCACCACCTTAAGGGACATGGTCATTCTTAACAAGATAACCCTATCACCTGTACTCGTTTGCAGAAAAAATGGGTTTCATTTATGGCTTATTATTTGTATCTTCGTGGACTTCGGTATAGTCATTATGTGATAGAAGTGGACTCTTTAGAGCTCATCTTTCTGATTGCTGTTTTATACTAATCTGAATGTCCCTTCATAGGATTAGATTTATTCCCCAGTACTAAGGAATCAAACCAGGGCCTTGCACATGCTAAGCAAGCACTGAGCCAGGGTTTTTGGTTTTGGTTTGGTTTTGGTTTTGAGACAGGGTCTCGCTATGTAACTACATATGTAGTCCAGAACAGCCTCAGACTTGAATCGATCCTGCTTCAGCCTCCCAAATACTGGGTTTGTGACCTTCTCATAGGATTAAATACTCTAGTAGCCTCCACGATCAGCTGGAACTGATCATGGTTTGAAAAAACGGCTGGCTTAGCTTCAAGGATAGGAGATTCCCTTCCTCTTGCAGTAGAGGACTAGAGTTAAGTGAGCCAATAAATCTGAGCCAGGAAAGCCTTCGCTGTATAGAGAGTTACATCTGTGCAAAATAACCATAAGCTTTTAGGGCTGGGGATATAGCTCAGCAGCACAGCACCTGCCTGGCAAATGCAAGGTCTGAGTTCAATTCCTGTACCAAAAAAGTACGTTTTTAATTTATTTCCTTATTTATTTTGTTGGCACTAATATTTTATATATATCTCAATTTTATAGTAATAAACTCACAGTATGCAATCAAGATTTAAAGCACATTATAAAAGGATATCCAATTTTGTGAAAATAAGTTTTTGAAGTTTTAAAATTGTTACTTTAAGGAAAAACAAGATATAAAAATATATAACTGTAACATTTCTTGACAAATCAGAATGAACATTTTTTCCATGTGTCCACTGTATCATCCTTTATTTTAGCAAAAAAGTCTTACCTACTCTGCTGAGGGTAGAAAGCATTGCTGCATATGGCAGCGCTCACCTGTAATCCCAGCATCCTGGGAAGCTGACACAAAACGATTACAATTTTAAGCCCAGCCTGGCCAACTTAGTGACTTAGCAGGACCTTGTCTCAAAAATAAAAATAAATGGTATACCACCACCACCACCACCCCCACTGCTAAATTTGACTGGCTTTAAAATAAATAAATAAAAATTTTTAAAAAATAAAAATAAAAAGGCCTGAGGGTGTAGCTCAGTGCAAAGGCCCTGGGTTCCATCCCCAGTACTGTGAAAAAAGAAAAAAAAAACTGGCTTAGAACAGTTTCAGTGCGCTTGAGGAGGTCTGCATACGGACTAGGTAGACTTGTCTAGTTTACCTCCCTGACCCTGGGATAGTGCCGTGACTGTGTGGGCAGGGCTCCTGTCCCAGGAGATGCACTTCAAAGCAAAGCACGGTATCCCCAGCCAGTGATGTACCCAGGCCAAGCACCAGCCACGCCAAGCCTGTTAAAGATGCAGGGACTTAGGACACCATGACCTTCCACAGCCTGAAATCAGCCATGGGAAGAATGTTACCCCACAGAAACTGCCACCACCCAGCCCATCGATGGCACCCTGAGCCCTGCTGACCGTCGGAGACTCACGGACCTTCGTGCACAAGATACCGAAGCATGACACCTGCTGGGCCAGGCTGACGATATGTGGTGACTCACCGGGCCAGCCCAGGAGCAGCTGGCTCTCGGGAAAGGCCGGAGACGAGCCACCATGAGTGGACATGGTTATGTTCTAACCAGACTTTATGGACAGAAACAGCTTTAGGCCCGGGCCATAGTCTTTCTGCTTTTTTAGCTTGTCTGGCTTGTTTGCTTGTTTGTGCTTCTGAGGAATTTCACTAGCCTACATTCCCAGTTCTTTTTATATTTTTTTTATTTTATGTATTCATTTATTTACTTTGTATTTTTTAAAACAGGGTTTACTATGGACTTCAAGCTGGTGTTGAACTATTTGCCCAGGCTAGATTCAAACTTGCAGTATTCCTGCCTTAGCCTCCCAGAGTGCTGCAATGAGGTGTACACTAGCGTGCCTGGCTAACTTTTCTGTATTTTTTGTACTGGGAATTGAATTCAGAACCTTGCACTTGCCAGGCAGGTGCTGTGCCACTGAGCTATATCCCCAGCCCTATGTTTTTTAAATACGTTACAATAAAAAAATTGAAAAGAAAGTACACATTTCTTGGCCTGGCCTTCAGAGCCTTTCGGGGTCCCCTGACCCCTGGCCCTTTGCGAGCTGGGCCACGCTGCCCTTGTTCTCTGGACACTGTGCGCTGTGGCCCACGTGGTGCCTATTTCCCCACAGTGCACTGGCCACCCGACCCCATGTCCATCTGAAGCCCTCACAGGACCTGCCTCCCACCCCATCCGGCAAGGCTCCCTTCCAGCAGCTCCCGTCCTGCCCACATTGGTACCACGGGCTTTTGCGGCTTCTCAGTTGATCCTTAATTAGTTCCTGATCCAAGCAAAGAAGGTGAGTTTTACTCTTTATAACTAGTAGGTGCTCAGCTAGTACTTGAAAACCAAGCTTCTAACCTGCTCATACCTACGGTGGAGACCAGGAGAATGCTGGCTTGTCCTGATCTGTTTTGGAAGATTAAAAATAATAAATCAAGCTGAGCGTGGTGGCTGACACCTGTAATCACAGTACTCTGGGACTGAGGAGGAGGGTTGTGGGTTCGAACCCAGCCTAGGGAACTTAGCAACTTGGTAAGACTCTGCCTCGCAAAGGGGAGGGAAAGCTGGAGACGCGGCTCCGTGCACAGCCTCTGAGCTCAGTTCCTAGTGCCACAGAAACAAAAACAAAACGGAAAACATTACACAAGGGGAATATTCTTTCTGTCTGTCCTCAGGACTCATCTAAATGGATAAATTGGCTTTCTTGGCAACAGCTAAGAGCGTAGAGAACTGTGTCATCCGTGCCTGGTTTTCACAGCCTCACTGAGCACGGACAGTGACTCGAGTCTGCCAGACACGCAGCAGCCCCGTAGTCCCCCAAAGGACCGAGATTGTCCTCAGAACGAGGAGTGTAAGTGGCCGGAGTAGGAGTGGGAATCTGGTAACCTCTGCTGCCCAGCACCATTTTAGTGCCTTCTTGCCTTTAGTGACCAACAGGAGGCCAGCAAAACCTAAGCGCAGATGGTTTCCTGTCCCAGTACAGAGGAGACGTCGGGGAGGGTGATGATGGGGCTGCATGTTAGGGAGCTTGGGGCAAGGCCACGATAGCAGGCCCTTGGCCCCTTGGGGTCCTCACTCGCTGAGTTTCTCCCGATCCCAGAAGCATAAACCATCGAATTCATGTGTTTCACGCATTATGCAGTCCGCAGGTGAAGGCCTCGTGGAGAGTGAGTAGGAAACTTAAATGCACTACATGATAATGCTGTGCTGCAGGTGTGCCCAGGGGACAGCGAGCTCAGGAGGACTAGACAGGGCAGGGAGACAGCAGGTGGGCTCTGAGAACTGCAGCTGTCCCGCTGCATGGCTGTTGGAAGGAGGCAGCGGCGCAGATGGAGCTGGTTAGCAGCTGCCTGGAGAAAGGACTTCAGGCTTTTCTCTAAAGTCTACCTCGGGGCACTGAAGGGTTTCGGACAAGACCCTGTCTGCACTTCATCAGGAGCTTGGCCATGTAACAGGGGGAAGACTCTTTAGGAGGTGTCTGCAAAAGTGAACCCAGGTGAGATGAGAGAGGAGAGCCTCGTGAGGGCGCAGGGCGGCCACGCTGACTGTCGCAGAGAATGACTGCAGGTGAGCCCAGCACAGTCACCCCCCTGCCACATGAGGGAGGCCTGTGGCACTCTGTGCAGCCACTCAGAGACGCAGGTGAAGGACACTTCCAATGCGGCTGCTCCAAGCCCACAGGGACCCTGGGGACCGATCGTGCTGCGACCCACAGTGAAGCTCATTCGGGGTCCACAAGCCACAGAACGCAACTCACACCTGGCTCTGCCCAGCTGCAGTCTGGGGGGCAGAGACTCCCCACTCCTGGTTCAGGAAGAAGGCACACACTTGCTGAGGAGGAGAGAGAAGGGGGAGCCAGGGAAAGCGGACAGCTCTGAAGAGTGACCATTTTATTGATCCTTTCTTGTGCCCGGAGAAGGGTGAAAAGTCAGCCTAGTTTGTCAGCAAGCCTGTCATGATTTGTTTTATTTTGGAATCGAACTCAGGACCTTGCACTTGCCGGGCATGCACTGCGCTGCTGAGCTGTACCCCCAGCACCAGAGTGTTTTTTTAGAAAGGGTGTTTTGGTTCATTCTTCTCAAATAAAACTTTTAAATCCATCACAGTTGGGTGTAAGAGTGTGTGTCTTTTTTTTTTTTTTTTCTTAAACTAGGATCAGAGAGTGTGTCTTTCTTGAGTCTTTATATAGATTATTACATCAGTGTCCAGTGTTTGAGCCAGGTACAGTAGCTCACGCCTGTGATTCCAGCACTTGGGAGGCCGAGATGTGACGGCCACTTGGGCCAGCCTGAAACTACTAATCCAGACCTTGAAAAAAATGTAAAGTAAAATAAAGACAAAAGCATGGTGTTTTAAAAGCAAGTTATGGACTGAGCGGCTAGTGAGACTTGCTCACAGGCCAGGCTGTGGATTGAGGCGCCAGAGCTGTGACCGCCCCACCTTCACCCTGCGCCCTGGGGTGCATCTCAGAGCTTCCGAGCTTCCGGAGAGGGAGTCAGGCGGAGGTGTAATTAGGCTGATTGGAGCCTGTTGTGCTGCTGCAAGAGCCAGACCCGGAGCTGCTTAGGGGAGATGCCGAGAGACGGAGTGTGCAGCTTCTCCCCTTCTTGGCCCCCAATTTAATTGCGACCCTTACTGAAATCTAAAAACTTGATTTTTATTGTGCGTTTTTTTTTTTTCTTAACAGTTGCGAGAAACAATCAAAGCTGGCAAAGGTGTGACTTCAGCTATTGACCTGTGTCGTTACCATGGAAACAAGGCCCTGGCGGCCCTGGAGAGCTTCCCTCCCTCGGAGGCCAGATCAGCTTTGGAAAACATCGTGTTTGCGGTGACCAGATTTTCATGACACTGAGTTTCAAAAGACACTGTTATTCCTTAACTGGAAAACCTGAGGAATAAGGTGACGGAGGCACTTTGTCACAAATAGCTAACTGTATTGATAACTTTAAGAATATACACACATTTTTCCTTCTGTTCATCACATTGCTAAATGAATACTGCCTTCTTTTTGGAATCGGCTGCAAACAAAATTAGAAGAAAAAAAGGTCAAGCGGTTTTCACTTGTCAGGCCAGAAGCACACTTGAGGCTGCAGTGGCAGAAATAATTAATGAGATTCCCTCCTGTGACCTCAGCAAATGGACAGGAAATAAGTCTTTATTGATTGGCCCGGCCGGTGGCGCCAGGGCGGTGGCCACAGCAAGCTGGAAGCTGCAGGTGTTGGCGAAATACTGTGGCTACCAACCGGGAGGGCAAGTCCGGGGCAGCCGCAGGCCCGAGGAGGCTTCTGGATCTGGGGGAACCTGCCTTTGTCTTGCCATGGGGGCTCTGATTTTATGGATACAATGTGAATATATTTTATGCATCGTGTTTTTTGTAAGATTTGGGGGTGGGGGAGTTGCTGAAAAGTTGCCAAATATTTGAAATACATTAAAAGGCTATCAAATGTTAACGTGGCTATATTAGAAATAGTCTTTTTCTTTCTTGAAGGTCAGGTTTTTTTCCTCCAAACACATTTCAAAGAACCAATTTTTTTCTTCCACTGAAATGTTTTTGTTTTGGGCCAAGGATTTAGCTCAGTGGCGTAAGTGGCTGCCTGGCAAGCACAAGGTTGTGCATTCAATCGCTGGTACCACAAAAAAGGAAAAAAGACAGAAAAGGGTGCTTTCTTCAGGTGAGATGTAATGCATTGTAATACTTTGGTTTAGGGGAAACCTCTAATTCTAACAAGTTTCAGAAATATAATTGTACCGGAGAGCTCATTGGTTAGACTTTTCTTTTAACCTCAGAATGTCAGATTGGGGTCTTGAACCGCAGACATCCAACAAGGAACCCAAGTAGTTGCGAGGCCCGGCCGGCGGTCCCGGTGGGACCTGGCAGTCTGCGCCGCCCGCAGGAGATGAGCTTTGCGGTTTGCACACACAGAACATGAGAGCGGTGGACAAGAAGGCTGAGTTTACATAAATGATCTCGATGGAGACTCAGCTGCCTGGCTTCCTTCTGTGGTGTAATTACAGCCCTATCTGGAGACAGCGAACACAGCAAACAGATTTTATTACCTGCTTCCCTCAACGCTAAGTGAAGTTACTTTCAATTCCTCCCCCTAAAAGTTTTATCAGAGCCCAGCGTGCAGACTGCAGTGCACAGAAGATGGAACGCTAGAGAGGCTGATGCATTGGACTATGAAATATTTTATATATCCTTGAAATATTGTCAGTGTACAGTGTACGCCAGTACAGTCTGCAGGCCCATAGGTTTGGGCAGGAGCGCTCCATTCTGGGTTTGAACCCTGAGTTTCTCTCTGAAACTGGCTTAATTAGTAACCGGGGCTGAGGAGCTTTGGCTCCCGACCAGGGTGTAATCATTAACCGCCCACAGGGGAGTCACAGGGGGAGTGCGGCCTCCGCTCTGTGCCCGCGCCTGCACTCCGGTCCCAGCTGGTTGCTAGACCTTGAGCCAGTCACTTGCCTTTGGGCTGGAATTCCTCCATCCGTACCGTGAGACAGTGGCCCGGTCCCTTTCCGGGGTTTATCTCCTCTGAGTTTACGTTGCTGCTATTTACATAGCAAACCTGTGAGGTTCCGGAGCAGGAGAGAAGGCAGAAACCAAAATAATGCTCTAAGGACTGCAGGAAAACGGCCAGCTGGCGATGCAGTGTCCACGCCCACCCTCCCTGAGCCGGCCTCGTGGACGCCGGTGCTCACCACCATCTTTCTGTTCTTTGGGAGCCACTTTTTCCCTAAAAGTTTAGTTCTATTTTTCCAGAAACCACAGTTTCCGGCCCCAGGAAACCTTTTGTTTTCTTTATTTCTGAGGTGTGGCTTTGCCTCTCAGCCTGCTCCTGGTATGGCTAGAAAAGGCCAGAAGTCCCCTTGTCCCTGGCCGAGCTCCTCCCTAGAGGAGAGGGCTCATTCACCAGGCATTGTCCTGCTCTCTTGTTATTCACTGTTTGGAGACACAGTCTTGCTATAGCGTACAGGCTGGCCTCAGACTCAAAGCGGCTCTCCTGCCTCAGCCTCCCAAGCACTGGGATTACCAGCTTATAAACCGCCAGGCCACCGTCCTACCTTCCTTTACCTCCTCCGCTCAAACCTCAGGCCCCCTGAACTCTCCCCTCTGCCAGGCTTCCCTTTGTTTTGACTGACTAACTTGGATGTTTGAGACAGAAAACCGCTACAGGCTTTTGCTTTATTAAGTGTAACAGAGGGTCCATTAGTGATGAGTTCTGTGCTTTTGTTTGGTTGGTTGGTTAGAACTTTTTGTTTTTTGAGGGTTCGTTGACTTGGTTTGGTTTAGGTTTTGGTGGTTGCTTTTCAGGACTGGAGATTGAATCCAGGGAACTGAGCTTCGTCTCCAGCCACTTATTTTATTTTTTATTTTGAGGCAGGGTCCCACTAAATCGCTAATCTGCCCAGGGTTTGATCTTCGTGCCCCGGCCTCCACCTCCCAGAGGGCTGGGATCCCAGGAAATGGGCCAGCACTGCTCCCGCCCCCTCTCTGGTGAGGCACCCTGGGCTGTCCCGAAGCTGCCCCCAGGCCAGGCCCTGTCCCCCTACCCCAGCTCTGCCCCACCCCTAGCAAGGCCATTCCGGTTCTCCTCCTCCCCAGCACCCCAGAATCACTTTTCCCTGAACATCTGTTACTTCCCCAGAAACCACAGTCTCCTGTCCACCAAGTCCGTTATCTTCTTTATTTTTGAGGTGCCTGTGAGCAGACCCATGCCCCACATATGTTAGGCAAGCGTTTAACGCCAAGCTCACCCCACACCCCAGAATCTTAAATTCTCCAGCCTAGAGAAGTTGTTTTCTGGTGTAGAAACATATTAATTATGCATCGATTAGATAGCAGCCTGCTGACCGTTGTGATTAGTGACCTCGAAAGACAGAGATGCCGACCGTCACTAAGTGCGTCCCTTATGTTTGCTTGGTGGTGACACTAAACTCTTCCCCAGTTTTCCTGTTTATAGAACACGGCTGACAGGCACACCTGTACATAAATGAGCCCGACATGGGTAGGTTTGGCCTTGTCCTCAAAAGCTGGTGACTGTCTTATCTGTGACAGTGCTATGCTGTGGCCTGAGATGTGAAGGACATCTGTAAACTGTGACCAGCAGGCAAATGGATTAGCAAACATGTTCCAGAAAGACGTCGGCCCCCTTTAGGCCCAGTGACCAGAAAGGAATCCCAGTAGCTTTAGACGACTTTTCAAAACAGGCAGGGATCTACACACCCGGGTCTCTGGGTCTCTTGTGGTAACAAAATGGTGGCTAAAGAGTATTTTTTAAAAAAAGATGCGACTAACTGTTCAGAAAACCCTTTGCAAGCATTTTCCTAGAGCTCACAGCTTTGGAGGATCCTCTGCGGCTGATGTTTGGCACTTTGAAATGCTGTTGCTGCTAGGGATGTAGCTCAGCGGCACAGTGCCTGCCTGGCCAGCTCGAGGTCCGGAGTTCGAGTGTCAGTACAAAAAGAAACAGAAACACTATTGTTAATCCCAGCTACTCGGGAGGCTGAGGTGGGAGGAACCAAAGTTCCCTGGACAATTTAGCAAAATGCTTTCTCCAGGTATGGAATGAGAAGGCCTGGGGTTTAGCTCAGGGAAGAGGGGCCCTGGTTCCCCCTGGGCTGTGGCTGTGATCACCCTCTGACCACTGAGCACTAGGGGGTTTTTTTAGAACCATAAACAGGATCTCTCAATCTAAGAGGATGTGCCGATTTACAGTTAATGTAGTTGGTGTCCCTGAGGACATCTTTTTTTTTTTTTTCCTGAGACAAGTTCTCGTGTTTTAAACAAATAGTTTGGGCTGGCATTAAACTCACTATGTAGGCCAGGCCAGCTTCAGACTTAAAGCAATCCTCCTGCTTCAGCCTCCCAAGTGCTGGGATTACGGGGGTGTGCACCATGGCTGGCCATCATCTTTTAACAATGGTAAAGGTTTAACAATGTTTGATTCTGTTCCTACTGATAATGTCCACAGCTGTTAACCACATACTGTTAGTAGTGAAGTCGCCTGCCGTCTTCTGGAAACACACAGCAGCATCGCTCTGGGAACCCGGGTTCAGTCCCTGCTGGGGAAAACCAGCCGAGCCACAGGGCACCCGGCAAGCTAATCCGCAGTCTTTCCCTGCCTTCTGTCCCCATCTCTTCTCACTGGCTGTTTGGTTCTTTCAGAATGAGTCCTGCTTTTCTGTTAGGAAGGTCACAGGCCGAATTTTAACAGTGACCCAACAAGGAGGTGTCCCCTAGGGGCCGTGGCCCTGGAGTGAACCCCCAGACGCAGCCCGGACTGTGTTCTGGAGGGATGTTAGGCCTCACCTGCAGGAGCACTGGTCCACTTAGATTGCATCCTCTTGGGAGGCAGAGGACGTTTCCCCAGTGTGTGTGCTTTCCCTTCTCATGGAGACACCCGGGCTTCATGGAAAACCGTGCCTCTCTCACTCAGCCTGAGCCACTTGCCTGCAGTGCTGATGGCGTGAGCCCGTCACTGTCCGAAGAAGCCCGAGGCTCCCACCACCATGGCCGTCACTGTATCAGTAGCTGGGATTTTACATTTTAATTCCACATTTCTTTTCTACTTGTGTGTGTGTTTGTTTGTTTGTTGAGACATGGTCTCACTATGTAGTTCGGGCTGGCTTTGAATTCACTGTGTAGCCCAGATTAGTCTCCATGATGCTCCTGCCTCGGCCTCCAGAGTGCTGGAATCACAGGCATGCCCCGCCACACTTGGCCTATTTCACCTTTTAAAACACACCTAAGTATATAACCAATTTAAAGAAATTTTGGAGCCAGGGGTGGTGGTGCACTCCTGTAATCCCAGTACTCAGGAGGCTGAGCAGGCAAATTGTTACAAGTTCAAGACCAGCGTGGGCTAAAAAGTGAGCCCAAGTGCATCCTGAACTGCATAGTGAGACCTTACCTCAAAAAAAAAAAAAGAGAGAAAGAAAGACATTAACTTTGGAAAAGAGAGAGGGGCCATTCACTATCACTACCCTGAAATAATTGTGATACCCCCTCATTTCTGTCTCCTCCAGCCCATCTTCCTCTGCACGGTTCTAACCAGGGCGTAGATTCAACGTGGGGGCCTGTCTTCATCTAACGCGCTGTAAGGTTGCTCTCCGTGGCACTGCCGTCACTATGACTCGTGAGCCAGCCAAGGCGCCGTCTGTTCCTGCGCGGTGTGTCTGGTGACAGGTACAGTCCACACAAGAGGCTTGCGTGAGTCAACCACTGAAGCCACTGAAGAAAGACCGCGGCTTGGGAACCGCCTTCAAGGCTCACGGTGCAGGTGAAAGCAGCGATGACCTCCGGCTGGGCCTGCAGCTCAGCGGAGGAGCCTGCCTGCACCCGGGAGGCCCTGGCTCCTTCCCAGCACAGAGCACAGCAGATGACCCCGAGTCCTCCCGAGTGGTCCTCGGCTCACCCAGCCCGAGCTTGCAGCCCCAGCGGGACCTCGTGCTTCTGTGCACTTTGCAGATCTCGCACGCCGCACCCTGCAAGCTTGCAGCCCGCTGAAGTGCTTTTCTCTGACCCTGAAGTTCAGTGTCTCAGAGTGAGGACAGTCCCCCCTTCACTCCAGTGTCATTGTCACAGCTTGACTTCTGTTTTGTTGCAATACTGGGGATTGAACTCAAGGCCTTCACACTGAACTGCATCCCTAACCCTTGCTTTTTAGGTTTTTTGTGTGTTTGATTGTTTGTTTGTTTGGTTGGTTGGAGCTTTAAGTCTCACTACTTAGTTTAAATTGGACCTTGAACTCTGTACCCAGGCTGGTTTGCAGCAATCCTCCTGCCTCAGCCATGTATATGCCACCAGTCCAGGCTGTTTGTTTTAATTTTGAGATAAGGTTTCACTAAATTGCTGGGCTGGCTTTGAGCCTGCTGTCCTGCCTCAGCCTCCTGGGGGCTGGGATTATAGGCCTGTCACCTCCAAACCCAACTGCTGCTTCTCTTTTGTTTGAAACTGTTTTGTAAAATGAGAAACCCTCTTCACTTGGAAGCCCCGGGGGAAGGGAGATGGTAGGGTTTGTTCAAGGGAAACAATCTTTTTCTTCTCCTTTTGGCAGTACTGGTGATGGAATCCAGGGCCTTTGAGACTGAGCTGCATTCCCAAACCTCTCTATTCTTTCTGTGATAAGAGCTAACTAACCTGCCAAACTGCCCCCGGCTGGGCTGGAATTCACGGTCTGCCGGGAGCGCTGAGATTACAGGACCCACCACCACACCCAACCGAAATAATCTGTGACTCAAATCTTTCATCCTGCTGGGGATTTAGCTCAGCGGCATAAGTGCCTGCCTTGTAAGCACGTTGTTGAGAGTTTGATCCCTGGTACCGATTAAAAAAAAAAATATTTCATCCTACTTGATTTGATGGTTTTGTTGTGTTTGTCTTTTGATTTTGTTCCTGGTTTTTTGTTTGGTTTTGGTTTTTTGAGACAGGCTCTCAATAAGCACTTTAGGCCGGCCTTAAGCTTCCTAGACAGACCAGGCTGGTCTTGACTCAAAGCGACCCTCCTGCCTCAGCCTCAGCCTCAGCCTCCCAAGAGCTGGGCTTGCAGACTGGTGCCACCCACTCTCATGAGAATGAATCCAGTTCCCTCTGACTCGGTGAACTCCAGTGAGAGCTCCTTAGCCCCGTGGCCTACCCGGCCTGCCCTCTCCGGCTCACTGCACACCACCCTGCGGGCTGCCCTCACCTCACGCCCAGGCCCGTGGGTGTGACCCGCGTGGCCCTGACGCCTCCCTGCGTGCTCACCTTTCTGCCTTCTGCCCTCTTTTGTCTTCAAGCTTAGATTTGTTCTAATTGCATTTCTTGGTTTTTGGTTTTTTTTGGTCTTTTGGTTCTAATTGCATTTCTTAAAAACAGCTTTATTGAAATCTAACTTCACAGCTCAGTTGTTCTTTAGGAAATTTACAAAGCTGTAGGCCTCACAGTGCAGGTTGGTTTTTTGGCTTTATTTTGTTTTTGAGACAGGCCCTCGCGGTGTAGCCCAGACTGACCTTAAACACAATCCTTTGGCCTCGGCCTCCAAAGCCTGGGGTCACAAAAGCGCGCTACTGCCCAGTCACAACGCAATTTTTTTTTTTTTTTTTTTTTTTTTTTTTTTGTCTTTTTGAGACAAGGTCTCTCTATGCAGTTCCGGCTGGCCTTGAGCTCACTTTGTAGCCCAGGCTGGTCTCGAACTTGCAACGATCCACCTGCCTCAGGCCTCCCGAGTGCTGGGATTACAGGAGTGTGCCTCCATGCACCGCCACAATGCAAAATTTAAAATTAACAGATCCAGATGAGCATAGTGGGACACCCTTGTAATCCCAGCACTTGGGAGGCTGAGGCAGGAGACTCCCTGCGTTCGAGGCCACCCTGGGTTTATCCACTTACCATTTAAATGCTTTGCGGTTATTTCTACTTTTTGCCTATTATGAGTAAACCTGCCGTGAATATTCCGAGGTCTTTGTTTGGCATTTCTCTTGGGTAGATCTCCATAAGTAAAATTGCTGGAACATATTAGCAACTTAACTATTTAGAAGTTGCCACACTGTTTTCCAAAGTAACTGTATGATTTCACATTTCCACAGCCGCACTGGAGAGGGCCCCAGTTTCTTTGCATCCGTGCCAACACTGCTATGCATTTTTTTATTGTTACAGTTCCTCTGTAGGAGTGGGTGATAGCCTATGGTTTGTATTTGCATAAATAATGATGCCAGGCATTGCTCATATGCGTAATAGGTATTTATGTACATCTCCGTTGGTGAAATGTCTGTTTAGATCTTTTGCCTATTTGTTGGGTTGTCTTTTTAAATTATAAACATTTGTCTTTTGGTTTTTGGTTTTTCTTGGGCTGGCTTGGGTTGGGTTGGATTTGTTCTTTTTTTTTGGTACCAGAAATCGAACTCAGGACCTCACGCTGACAAGCAGGTGCTGCGTCACTGAGCTAAATCCCCAGCCCTCCCCCTGGCTTGGTTTTGAGGCAGGGACCCGTTATGTAGCCAGGCTGGCCTTGAGCTCATTCTGATCCTCCCCCCTTGGCCTCCAAGTGCTGGGGTTACAGGTGCTCACCTGAAAAATTACAAGCAGTTTTTATATATTCTGGAACCGACTTCATCAGCGCTATGGTTTGCAAATAATTGCTCCCAGACTCCTGCCTTCGTTTCCTTTCTTCTCCTTTCCCCTCCCTCCTCCCGCCTTGGGTGTGCACACGCAGGGCTCCACACGAAGTGCCCAGGGTACACCCCACAACTGAGCTTCCCTGCGGCCCCTCAATGTCTTTTGGAAGATCTGGAATGTAGGGCCAAACCCTGCAACCAAGAAACTGGTTTTTGGGAGTTTTTTGGGTTTTTTTGTTTTGTTTTGGTACCAGGAATCGAACTCAGGGCCTCACTCTTGCCAGGTGGACACTGTGCTGCTGAGCTACGTCCCTGGTCCCTAAACCGAGAGACTTTGATGCTCTGTGGAGGAGCAGAGACAGAACCCTGGACCTCTGGAGTCTTCACCCCAGCTGTCACTGGGAGCCAACTGCTTATTCCTCGGAACCCTGAGCTCTCACGCACCCATGGGCACATTCTGCCCTCTGTTCGTCCTGGGCATGGGCTGCACCACGTGGGATCTGAGACCTGCGGGTTCCTGAGGTCTTCAGCAGCTTGCCACAATATGTAGACTGTATGTTTAGTTTTTGTTTTCTTGTCCCGGGATCAAGCCCAGGGCCTTCAACATTCTGGGCAAGTGTTCTCCCACTGAACTGGTCTCAGCCCTTTTTATTTTTTAGTTTTTGTCATTCTGAGACAGGGTTTCACTCTGCAGTTCAGGCTGACCTTGAACTCACTGTGTAACCCAGGCTGGCCTCAAACTTGCAGCGATCCTCCTGCCTCAGCCTCCTGAGTGTGGGAGTACAGCCATGCACCACCACACTCGGTTCCTTTCTGTTATTTTAAGACAAAATATGGCTAAATTGCCCAGACTATCTCCCAACTCAGATCCTCCTGCCACGCCCCCCAGATGCTGAGGTTGGAGGCACAGTCTAGAGCACCTGGCTTACAGGTGATTCTTAAAACTTTTACAGTAGCTGGGCATGGTGGCTCACGCCTGTAATCCCAGCACTCGGGAGGCTGAGGCAGGAGGATCGTTGCGGGTTCGAGACCAGCCTGAACTGCATAGAGACCCTGTCTCAAAAAGACCAAAAAGAAAAAAAAAAAAAACTTTTACAGTATGTGCCAGGTATGGTGGGAGACACCTAAACACTGGAGGCTAACCTAGGCTGCACAGCAAGACTCTGCCTCAAAAAAGCTAAACAAAATAATCCCTCCCAAAATAATGTTTATGGCATACCCATCACGGTACGGAACTGGATATAAGTTTTGGATTCATTTTAATGGCATATGTGGAACAAAGCACATTTACTGTTTGTACCCGAGTGTGGCCAAATCTTTCCCCTGTAAACTCCCCCAGCCCAGTGAACGCTGGCTGATCACTCGCTCTGGTTTTGCTCAGGATATTTCTCAAGGCATGCGCCAGGCAGCACTGGGCATGCGTGAGCACCCTCTCCCCTCCGCTTCCCTCCCCTCCCCCTCCCCCTTCCCCTCCCCCTCCCCCTCCCTCCTTTTTGAGATAGGGCCTTACCAGGTAGCCCTGGCTGGCTTCAAACTCACAATGGTCCTTCTGCCTCCAGCGTGCTGGAATTACAGGCATGCACCACCACACCCGGCTGAAGTATTTTGTATTTTGTGCAACTTTGTTGTCCTAAAAGCCATCAACAGAATAGAGTATGTAGTAAGGGAAAATCCTCTTGAACTTTACAAAACACTTTTTTCTTTATACTCATTAATCCGTGCTCAAGGAAGGATAAACTGGGACCCGGGATGTAGTCAACAGCACAGTGCCTGCCTGCAAACGGGAGGCTCTAAGTTCGATTCTTAGTACCAAAGAAAGGGTAAACTGAGGTTGGTGACAGATGCCAGCTACTAAGGAAGCTGAGGCAGGAGAATTACCAGTTAAACCCATGCTGGACCGCTTGTGATTTAACAAGATCCCGTTAATAAATAAATAAATGAACAGAAGAGCCTGGAGATTCAGCTTCATGTGAAGGACCTGAGTTTAATCCCCAGCACTGGGGAAGGGCAGCTGTAAATTTCATTTAACACAGTCAATTATGATACTGGGGTTGATTTGGGGTTTCTTTTAGACTTTCCCCCCTTGTCTGTCAGTATGAATGAGAGACAGTGAGGTGGCCCACTGTGGATAAAGTTTCTTTTTCTTTTTTAGAAAGTCTCTTTTTAAAATCCACTGAACATCCATTTTTCTCCCTAGTGTCCTACCTGCTGTCTCCTAATGATCAGAGGCTCCGTGACAGATCACCTGAGTGTGTGTCTAGCTGTTGCTAAGCATCGTGGTATTGACACCTTGGGCAAATATAGGTGCCTAAAAACATGTGTAGGAAGGAAAGCTTGCCCTGGTCCCCTCCCCTCTGCCTCATCTGGGTGAATGGTTCAGTGTTAAATCGTGTCATTGCTGCTAACAGAGCAAAACAGGCTTGACAGTCAAATTAGTGTATCCCATAATAATATAATGCAGCCTGCAAATTTTATATTTTTCTTTTACAAAAGTCATCACTAGTCTTTGTACCTGCACCTCGTAATGACTGAAACAGCCTGCATAGAAACATTTATTAAATTTTTACCCTCTAGCAATATAAAGCAGCAGCAAAAATATGGCCCCATTAATTATAATTTCTAAGTGCATCCATTCAAAACGAATGGCGTCTTTTTGTCCTGTCTCAAAAGTTAAAGTTTTTCCACTGGTTTTTAAAATTTCAAATCCCGGGGCTGGGGATTTAGCTCAGCGGCATAAGCACCTGCCTTGCAAGCAGGCAGTCGTGAGTTCGGTCCCCGGTACCGATAAAAACGAAAAAGACAAAAAAAAAAAATAAATAAAAATAAAAATAAAAAATAAAAAATAAAAAATAAAATTTCAAATCCCAATGGACGGCTTCAGCGGGATGACCCGCTACGAGCTTTACCTTTTTAAAGTGGTAGAAATACGGACAGCACTTTTCAGTTCTGTGTGATTCCTCTCCACATTTATATGGTAGATTAATCCACGAGGAGCAGCTCAGTTTTCTTAAAAGTGCCCATCAAAATTATCACAGAATGTTTATAGACTGAACATATCATTTGTTTACACAAATGGTAGCATAAATGTCTGTTTTTAGAAAGCTCCACCGTAAGCCTTTCCATACGATTGGATTCTTAAGCAAGGCTATCATTAGGAAATAAACCGCGTTCCCCCTTGGCGAGTCCTAATGAAGGCTTGCCAGCCCAAACGCTGTGTTTGAACACTTCTTCCCTCCGTAGCGTGTGCCCATCAGAAGGCGTTTTCGCTGTGAGTGTGTCAGATGTGCTATTTAGAACCCGGTTAACAAGCCAGGGAGGCAGGCAGAGGTGTCCCTTTCATATGCAAATTCCCAGCCCAGGTTTCTGCAGTGACACACGCCTGCTGGCCGCGTTATGCTCAACGTCCGCATTACACAACGGAGCACATGAAAAAGAAAACGTATTAAAACTGCATGGAGAAAGAAGAAGTCATGTTTCGGTGGCGGGAGGTGGCTCAGTGACAGCATCTGCCTGGCAGGCGCAAGCCTTGGGTTCCATTTCTGGTACCAAAAAAAAAAAAAAAAAAAAAAAGACTTATATTGATTTAATTAGAAAAAGAAATTAAAGAGTATGAAGCCAGAGGAGCCCTAGTTTAAAATGCACAGGATCACAAAATGCGCTCCGACGGCATGCGCGGAGTCCTCCCAGGGAGAGGCGGGGACGCAGGTCTTTCTCTCCGCTTGTCTCCAAGTTTGCTGCCTGGTCTTTTTTACTTTTTCTTTGTCTACAGATTGTGATTCCCCTGACCTGAAATCATCCACAGAGAAGAAAGAAACCAGGAAGAGCTCATGCCCTCTTTGCACTGAGTTCATGCCTTTGGTTCCCAGCATTTATGAAGTGTTATGATGTGCAGAGCAGTCTTAGGTACAAAAATGTACCACAGCATTTGCTGTCCTCCCTACCATACCCTGGGCTTCTTGGGCCCAAGGCACCTTTGACAGCAGTGGACTATGACAAATAGAAGTGAGCTGGGTTGAAACCCTTCTCTGTGCAATGTGTTGAGGTGCCTGGGATTGAGGCCAGGACCTGGCCTGTGCTAGCCAGGCGCCCCCACTGAGCCACCGTAGCTGGCTTCTTGTTCTTTTTTTTTTTTTTTTTTTTTTTTTGTCTTTTTCCTTTTTATCGGTACCGGGGATCGAACTCACGACTGCCTGCTTGCAAGGCAGGCACTTATGCCGCTGAGCTACAGACCCAGCGGCTCCTTGTTCTTAGAAACTGCTTGCTGCATTTGCCCTCTTGCTGCTAAAGTGGCTGCCAAGTCTCTGCACACTACGATTGTCACTGCAGTTGCTACTCAGAACATGCTGTTAAAGAATGTTTTTATAGCAGTGAAGCAAGCAAGTAACCTTGAGTAAAAGTGAGAGCAATGGATTGCCAACTGGAATTCACAGACAAGTTATAAAAGAGACATAGAGGCTTCCTTCACCTCACAGGTCCAAACACAGTGCGAAAGGTCGGGGAGGTAGGAGAGCTCACCCCACGGGGGCCACAGTCCGTCCTTGGTACTCAACTGCTTTGCCACCTGTTGGCACTCAGGAACAGTGTCCCTTACTCCCTGGTTGTCGCTGAGAACATCGTGGCACCCTCTGCCTTGGGACCTGTTTCCCTTTCTAGCCGTAGTGGTTTGTGCAATGGTCGCCACTTCTGGCACTGGTTGTGCCTCTGGAACCAACGAACAAGGATCAAGGAACCTCTGGATTTCAAAAGCAACGTTTAGAAGATGACTGACAGGTGTAAAGCTCGCTGTCTGAAAAGTTACTGGTGTGGATGGGAATGGTATGCACACAGTGTGGCCAGGAGATTGCCTGTACCAAAATCAGGGCTAGATGGTAGACCCGGGATCTCCTTAGGTAAGGCCCAAGAATCTACTGTCGTGTGTGTGCTGAGGGTTGACCCCTGGCAGCGCTGAGCTGCCTCCTCAGTCTGTATTTCTTGAGCCAAGGTCTTGCTAAATTGTCAAACTGCATCAAATTTGTACTCTACAGCCCAAGTAGCTGGCATGATAGCTGTTGTGCAAGCACCTCTGGCCTTTCAAGAGACAGGGTCTCGGCTGGGGAATTAGCTCCGTAGCATAAGCACCTGCCTGGCAAGTGTGAGGTCATGAGTTTGATCCCAGGACTAAAAGAGAGAGAGACAGAGAGAAAATGGGTCTTACCAGGGTCTCATTCTGGAGCTGGCCTCCAGCTCCTGGGCCCCCGCAGCTCTCCTGCCTCAGCGAGCTGAGTAGCTAGACTACAGGCGGTCCACACAGGCTCAAGGGTCTGCAGTGTCTTGAGGCCTCGGGCAGTTCTCCTGCGGACTCCAGGGTTGGATCCACCGGAGGATGATAAGCTTCTAAGGCTCCTCCGACGTCTGACTCTTCATGGGGCAGCAACAGACATCCTGGAAGTAAGACAGATTCCAGGTAGAAGAGAACACTTACATGTGAGCTGGGAAAAACCTGTGTCCCGCGGAAAACAGAGAGGGAAAGAGGATAAAATGTGTAGTGAATGAAAACCGTAGCAGGAAAAGGCAGAAAGCAGCACATTGAAGTGAAGCAGTGAAGTTCAGCTAGCGCCATCGCAGCCCCGAAGCAGGCAGCCTGAGCCGAGGCCAGCCAAGACCGCGCCGGATCTGTGTCAGGGATTTTTAGGTTTTTTTGTACCTGAGATCAAACTCACAACCTTGCACTTGCCAGGAAGGTGCTGATGCCACTGAGCTTAATCCCCAGCCCCGATCTGTTTTTTTTCTAAATTTTTTATTATTTTGAAGGTAGTAAAATGCAACAGGACAAGACGGAACAAAGCCAACCTAGGCCGTGCAGTGAAATCGGTACAGAACTTCACAGCAGGTTACCGGGATCACAGTAATAGGTGTCACAGTAGATCTTGTTATGTTCACAATAGTTGTTCTTTCAATCAGGGATAGAAAAATCAAATGAAATACAGAACACTATAGAACTTATCAAAGTAGAATATTGAATAGAGCAATACCATTAATCAGAACAAAACAAAACAGTGATAAAAATATTTGCCTTCAAAGAGATGGTAGAAGGATATTTGCAGGGCTGGAGATTTAGCTCGGCGGCATAAGTACCTGCCTTGCAAGCAGGCAGTCGTGAGTTCGATCCCCGGTACCGATAAAAATGAAAAAGACCAAAAAAAAAAAAAAAAAAAAAAAAAAAGAAGGATATTTGCTATATTGCATATGGTCATCTTCCCAAGAGATGCTCAGATCTCTGGGTCCCATTTGCTAATGGTGGGGGAGGGGTGGGATGTTTGATTCTCAGCCCTCGTGCTCACTACCGCTTACCAGGGGGGTGAGTGGGTTGCTTGGTTTCCCAGCACCCTAAGTTCCAACATGGTGCAGATCTCAAGAGTTGCTGGTGGTTCTTCCCCTGGGGCGGCCACAGCCTACCCAATCTGTTTTGAAGAGATAATAAATACATTCTTAAAAACCAGACATTAAGAATGGACACAGTCAAGCAAACCTGAAATCCCAGCACTCAGGAGGCTGAGGCAGGAGGATCTATGCAAGTTTGAGGCTAACCTGGGCTACATACTAAGTTCAAGGCCATCTTGAACTGCACAGTGAGATCCTGTCTAAAAAAAGGACATTCACATTGGGTTAAACAGATCCAGTAATAAGTTACCTAAAACATAAACATAAGTAAAAATGACACAGAAATTTTTCTTTTTGTACTGGGGATTGAACTCACGACCTCCCACTTGCCAGGCAGGTACTTACATCGCTGAGCTAAATCCCTGGCCTGACACAGAAAATCTGAAAATAAAAATGAGAGAAAACATTAGAACATTTGAACCAAAAAGAGGAGGAAAAGATCTTAATACCTGACGAGACAGATCATAAGACAAAAACAAATCATAAAGGACAAAGAGGAGCACATTGCTGATGAGCAGAACAGCAAGAAGATAAAACCAGCCAACAAGGAGGAAAAAAAGGAGGAAATAAAACCATCAAAACCGTGGCTGCGGGCTGGGGATGCAGTTCAGCGGCCCAAGTGCCTGCCTGGCAAGTTCTAGGTTATGAGTTTGATCCTCAATGCCAAAAAAATGTGGCTGAATTCTGGGCAAGAAATCAAACACCTCCAATCCCAGCAGTCAGAAGACTGAGGCGGAAAGATCAGGAGTTGAGGCCAGCCTGGGCCCTCATACCAGATTTAAGAGCCAGGCGTGATGCCACACGCCTGCCATCCCAACACTTGGGAGGTTTGAGGCCAGCCTGAAGCACACAGCGAAACCTCATCTCAAAAAGACAAAAAAAAAAAAAAAAGGAAATTAAATCAAGCATTCATAAAATGTATATACATTGAAAGTTTTAGTAGCACACATAAGTTAAATGAGGTACTTTGTAACCAAAGAATTGTTCAATTAGCCATTTGATTAAATAATGAAAATATCAATGTTTGATCTATAAAAATGATCATTTCATATTATACAATCTATAGCTTACATGTTTTTGTTTTTGAAACAGGGTCTTGCTATGCAGTTCAGGCTGGCCTTGGGCTTACTTTGTAGCCCAGGCTGGCCTGGAACTCACAATGATCTTTCTGCCTCAGCCTCCCGAGTGCTGGGATTACAGGCGTGAGCCACCACACCTGGCTTTGTTTTTGTTTTTGAGGCAGGATCTCACTATATAACCCAATCTGGCCCTGAACTCACTTTGTAGCCTACGCTGGCCTCAAATTTGTGGCAATCCTCTTGCCTCAGCCTCCTGAGTGTTGAGATTACCACCATGTGCCCACCATGCCCAATTTATGACTTATTTGTTGAAGGCATTAAATTAACTATAGGATATCAGATAATTAGCACAATATCTAAGTTGGTCTCCGTTTTTTTTTGGCCAATAAAAGTTTTTTGTCTACTAAAAATAGTTGTTTCAGTTGTTAGTGACTATCAACTAATATCAGAAAACTGCACAGGACATGACGTGTAGGGTCACGGTGCCTGTTGGCCTGACCACAGGACCACCCATGTAGGCCTGCACCTCACCGCTCAGTGCTGAGGAATTCTGGGTGCCCCACCGCCCAGGCTGGACTTGTGCCAGACTCCGTTGTGATTTGATGCCACCTGGTGGTAGTGGCGGACCCATTTTTAATACCAGGAGACAATTCTGAGTCCAGCAGCAACAGCCCGGGAGCACGGGTGACTGGCAGTGACCCTGCGAGCTGGCCACATCCAGGGCAGGGCAGGAGGCACCAGAGGCCCAGCCTCCCCAGTCTTCCTGGGAGCTCAGGGGCCTCTGCCCAGCTCTCACGGCCTTGGTGTCTACTCTATGCACCACAAAAATGGAATTCTAACCCCATCCCAGCCCCCAGGGGTACCTGCCCTGCCAGACGGCAAGGGCACAGGCCACACAAAGTGGAAAAATTCAGCCCACTGAAGATGAGTCCTACGGTGTGAAAGCCACGGAGTTTTAAATCAGCGTTTCATAAAATTGCCTTTGTGAGTGATCCCTGGCGGCTCAGCAGACTGGGAAATTCTTGGTTACATTTCAGGGTGCACTGGGTGGGGCACCTGATCTGCTACTGTTGCCCCCCACAAACCCCTCGGAAAGCCCCTTCAGGGCTGCCCAGGGAAGCGGTCAGGTAGCAGGTACTATGTTTCTGTGTCTCTGTGCCCAACCCTCTTCTGGGCAGCGCGGCCCCTTGATTTACCCCTGGAGCGAGGTGGACTGAGGTAGCTGCAGCTTTTGGAGCAGGGTCTTGGTGGCTTTGTGTGCCGTGAAAGTGCTAAGCACCAGGGTGCTGGTGGCAGGCCAGGCTGCAGGGAGGCCTCAATGCCACCGCCTTCCCCAGGGCTCGCGAAGGGCTATTCTCCTCTCTAAGCACCAGCTGCCCTGCTCACAACGTGCTTCTCCTGGCTTTGTGGCTCAGAACCTTACCCAGCCCCTCCACACCCTGCTCGGCCTCGCAGGAACCTCTCCTCTGGGGCTGCCTCCTCCGTACTCCAGTTTCCGAGCTCTGATGGATTCCTCAGCCCTGGAGGACAGGGACATCGCTTACCCGTTTGTTTCTTGGTTTGAGACAGGCTCAGCGCAGAGTCAGCCCACCTTGAACCCACTGTGTAGCCCAGTCTGGGCTTGAACTCACGATCCTCCTGCTTCAGCCTCCCAAATGCTGGAATGATGGGTCTGTACTGACGTGTGTGGTGTTTATCCGTTTCTTACTGTGATGACATAGTCTACGTCCACGTCTTCTGACGATAATTAAATTAAGGACAACGGAAGTAGACAGGAGGATTGTTTGTCAGGAAGAGAGGAGACAGTCACATTGTTAGGGAGGGGACCCAGAAGTGGCTGCTGCCTTGGGGACTCTGAGTCTCCAAGCCTCGTTATGTAGCCCAGGCTGGCTTCGAACTCACAGTGATGCTGTTTCCACCACTCAAGCGCTGAGACCACAGTCGTGCCCACCACACCCTGCTGCTCTAGGTTTATAACCAGAGCTGGGAGGCTTCTGAGGAAACCAGAGGTGGGGACCAGAGTCGCCCAGCATCACCCCAGCAGCAGAGTCTCGGCAGCACACACAGGGCCCACACACATGCCCAGCTCCAGGGGCTCACTTCGTCTGCCAGGACCCTGGACCCAGGAATGCAGGAGCCCTCTCGGGGCACTAGGTCTCTAAAAGGCTTGCGAGCACCAGTGTAGATGACGGACAACCTAGAGGACTAGGAAATGGGCACGAGAGGAGTCAAGGCACATAGCAAGCACCTGTACCTCTGCGGGTGCCTCTTAGCCTCTGTCCTATGCAAGTGGCCCATTGAAAGGACAAAATATTTATTCCAAGGATGTGGAGAAAAAAAAAGAAAGAAAGGACAAAATAGCCAGGTGTGGTGGTGCACGCCTGTAATCCCAGCACTCAGGGGCTGAGGCAGGAGGATTGTTGTGAGTTCGAGACCAGCCTGGGCTACAAGGTGAGCCCAAGGCCAGCCTGACTGCATAGTGAGACCCTGTCTCAAAAAGACAAAAATAAATAAATACATAAAAGAATAAAGTGAGCTTTCCAGACAGATCAGAGCAGAAGTTGTCAGAGGTTTACTATCACCTTGCTGGTCACCTCCCTTGTTATAACCCTGGACTTCATTGCTTTCTGGTTCTTGGCAACCCGTGCTTCTGACCAAAAACCTGGACTCTAACTCCAGAATTCTCCAGAAGAGAATTCAGCATGTAAGCCAGGCGTGGTGGTTCATGCCTGTAATCACATCACTCAGGAGGCTGAGGCAGGAGGATCATTGCGAGTTCGAGACTAACCTGGGCTACAAAGTGAGCTCAAGGCCAGCCTGAACTACATAGCTCGAGACCCTGTCAAAAAAGACAAAAAAAAAAAAAAAAAAAAATAGAGAATTCGGCATGTACTAGATGTTTGAGACTTGGAGAATCACAACACAAAACTGGTCTAAACTAAACCAAAACTTTCGAGTTTCTCCCGTTTCTCCTGATGCTGTTAGTTGCTTTTTAAAAATGTTTTTGATTTTACTGGAGAAGGGAGACTAATGAACTTAAAATGTCTCATGTAAACCACTGAGACAGAAAGGAAGCAGGTGAGTGTGGATTATCGGATTCCTCCGGCCTGAACCCGACGGGTTCCAAAGGTTAGTTGCCCGCCTTGCTCTCTGCTGATTACACAGGTCAGGAGGGTAATCGAGTCATTTATTTGAACCATTTTCTCCCAGTGTGTTTCTAACATATTTGCCCCAATCCTGGCCACTAAGTCAGTGCTGCACTGAGACCAGCTTCTGTCTCCCATCACCAAAGAAATGGTGAACAAAGGTAATTTCCATGCCCTTCTGCCCCCAAATCTGTCACGTTCCGGAGCACAGCGCTTTAAACCTCAGTGAAAACCTACGCGCCGGAGGGCTCAGTAATAACCAGGACGTCTGTTTATCATTAACTCAGTGAATAAACCCTCCAAGGTACTAAACGCCTTTTGGAGGAGCACCTTATTCTGTGTCTTTTCAAGAGCTTGTCACCAGAGGCAGTGTTGCCTAGTGGTGAGCTTAGCAGACAGCTTCCAGGTTCTTCTTCGGGACACTCAGAGAATTACAACCCAACTGATAGCTACATGGATGGAGGGTCACGGCAAGTGGTGCTTAGGGCAAACCTGCGCCAGGAAAAGACAGGGCATGAACGGAAAACAGGGCCAGGGACAGGAGAGCAAGAGCATCGTGCACAGGTGACTGGCACAGGTGACTGCACACAGCGCTGGACCCGGCCACAGCCGGCTTCTGGAATTTACTGGTATGCAGCCCAGCCTCCAGATGTGATTGACAGAATGACTGACAGGGTCCTGATTCATCTCGGGGCGGTGGGCACATTCCTGTCCAGAATTCACTCTGGTCTTAATTATATGCATGGTGTATATGGCAGTATTCATCTGTGCATGAGGTTTGAGTAGGATGCAATGCTGGGATCCAACTCATATGATGCCTAGGGCATCAGAACCCTCAAGTTATTTGTGATTTTGACCTCTCTTAGGACAGTAGAAGAAATCATGACTGCAAGGTGCGGTTTAAAATTAAACCGATGCAGTGCTGGGTGTGGTGTGCATCCCTGTCAGCCCAGCACCTGGGAGGCTGGGGCAGGAGGATTGTCCAGAGTTCAGAACCAGCCCGAGCTACATAGTGAGTCTGAGGAATGGGCTCCCATCACAAACAAACAAACAGATTACATGGGGGAAGGGAGCGGCTCCCTTAGTGCTCCTGTTCCTAACTGTACTACTGTAGGAGCAGGGCACTGCCTAGCATGCCCGAGACCCCGAGTCCAACACCAAGAAGGATGAGAAAAATACCTGTGAGTGAATTCAGAAATTGTCCATGCAGAATCAAGAAAACAAGGTATTTTACTAGGAGAAGCAAAAGTTATATCATAATACGCTATGAAGTTGATGCCATGTGAAATAAAATGAAACCATTGGTTAATTGGCTGAATTGAGATTTCTTTCCTCAAAAATTTTTTCCTCAGGGGCTGGGGATTTAGCTCAGCGGCATAAGCGCCTGCCTTGCAAGCAGGCAGTTGTGAGTTCGATCCCCAGTACCGATAAAAAGGAAAAAGACAAAAAAAAAACCATTTTTTTTCCCTAGTAGCTGGGTGTGGCAGCACACACTTGTAATTCCAGCATTTGGGAGACTGAGGCAAAAGGATCACCACGAGTTCAAGGTCACCCGGGCTGCATAGTGAGACTTTATGACACAGACACACAGACCGCAAACCATTTTCCTAGGCTTCCTTGGGGTTACAGTGTGTAAAAATCCACAAAATTTTATCTCCACTTAATCTTTCCACCAACTATGTGGGCAATATGTATATATTTATATATACATATTTAAATATATATATATATATATATTTTTTTTTTTTTTTAAACACTAATCTGTCCTTTGATTGTCCTGCCTGCAGGCAGACATGTCCCCCTGGCTTACTGTCCTGGTGAGGGGATACATGGGGCTGAGTGTGGCCACAGCCCTCAAGCTTTTGTTTCTAAATGCTTAGGGCTCAGCAGGGATGGGTCTTGTGCCTTAAGCAAGTGTGCCAGACAGAAACAGTCACCCTGGCTGGATGGCAGGCAGAGCAGGGTCCTGGCAGCTCCCCCAAGCTGCTGGGCAGGGCAGGGCTGTGCCTGGGGAAAGGTGGCTGTGAGCTGCCACGGTCCCCTGTCCCCTGTCTCAATGGGAGACTTGCGGGCCAGGTAAGGCCTGCTCGAACCTTGTGAATTTCTGTCATTTCATAATTAAAATCTGGGCAATTTGGGCTCGGACTGAAGCTCAGTGTAGGGAGTACACAGACATGCACCAGGTCCCGGATTTGATCTGCAGGACCAAAAATAAGTTTTTAAAAATCTAGGTGATTTTACCTAGCAATATGCATTTCTGCTTCTCTTGAGTATGGCAGATTTGGCTCTCCCGGGTTTATCCTGGGTTTACTTACATAAGTCTGTTCTTCCTGACTATAGTGATGCACTTGAAGTTGAACGCTTAAGAAGGGAAGAGATTTCTGGAGGCTGGAAGCCCAAGATCATGCAGCCCCGTTTGTAACTCCGGCATTCAGGAGGCTGAAGCAGGAGAATCACCATGAATTCAAGACTACATAGGACTACACAGGAAAACAGTCCCTCAAGAACTAACTCAGTTCCCACAAAACTCCCTTAATCCTCCCTGAGGGTGCCTCTCTCCAGTGACCAGAGAGACTGTTCTCCTTCTAGGCTCCAACTCTTGACGTCATCACAGTGGGGACGGACTTGCAATGCGTGAACCTTTGGGGACAAACTTAAGCAACATCTGAACACAGCAGGAATAAACTCTGGATGCCGCCATCCCGCCTGCTCTGAGTCCAAGGGTTGGCTGCCACTCATCAAAGTACTCGCGCTGCTGTTTTCCAGACAGTAGAGGAAAGTTCCTATTGTTTGTTTTTGTTTTGTTTTGTTTTTTTATATGTACCGGGGATCGAACTCGAGATGGCCTGCTTGCGAGGCAGGTGTTTATGCCGCTGAGCTAAATCCCCAGCTCCTTGTTTGTTGTTTTTTTGGACAGGATCTCACTTCGTGGTTCAGCCTGGCCTCAAACTCTCGATGGAGCCCATGCTGACCTCCAAATTCAATGTAATCTTCCTGCTTCAGCCTCTGAGTGCTGGGATTATAGATGTGCGCCACCAGGGCCAGCAGGAATGCTTCTCTTTACCTAAGATTTTTTCCACCCATGTAGAAACAAAAGACAGACTGACAGGACTAGGGATGTGGCTCAGTGGTAGGACACTGGCCTCACACGTCTGCAGCCCTGGGTTTGAACCCCAGCACTACAAGGAACAAATGAAAGAAGACGGACTGGCCTGATAGCTCGAGTTGCAGCGTGAGGGCTGGCCTGGGGGCTCTCTGCAGAGAGGATGGTCCGGCGTCTGTCCTTCTCCCTGTCCCCTGCCTGTGGCAGTGGGGCGCAGGGCGCTGAGGACAGACACCTCCGGGGAGAGCCAGGCTGCCAGGGCCCTGCAAGGTGCGGTCCCCAGAAGTCCCTTACCTTGAGCCTCCGAAAGGATACCATGAAGTGGAAAGTAAGTTACAAACGGGCCGATTAGCCTGCGTGCTTTTACTGCTAAACCCGAAGCCTTTGGGGTTTGCACGTGTGCATGAGCAGGAAAAACTGTCCAGCCCTAACTGCCATGCGGGTGGGCTGGTTATTTGACCAGTTCCCTGGCCTCCTGTGTAACCAATAAAAGTAACGGCTCTCCTTTACTGACCTTGCCCCATGCCAACCTCTGCACAGGCTGCGCCGAGGGCCGCCCTGCTAACCGCCCTGGGTGGGGCGCCCTGCTCTCCAGCAGGAAGCGAGCACAGAGCTTAGACAGCTTCTGCAAGCCGCACTCAGGCCTCGTGGGCACCTGGGCCCAGACCAAGTCGGCCTGATTTCCTGCTGCTGGGCCGAGCGGCCACCAAGGGCAGCAGGTCGGCCACCCGAGCTGGGGCAGGCTGGAAGGACACAGAAGAAGGGACACAAACGGCCAAGCCCACAGGGGCAGCATAGAGAGACTAGTGGCAGCTCTGCAGCTCTTGGTGTGTATCAGGCTTGCAGTAATTAGGTGTAATCTGGGCGTGGTGGTGCACCCACGCCTGCAATTCCAGCCTTTGGGAGGCCGAGCCAAAAGGATGGCGGAGAGTTCAAGGCCAGCCTGTGCTGCACAGTGAATTCCAGAACACCCTAGACACACAGAGACCCTGTCTCAAAATACTAAAATAAATTTTTTAAAAAAGGAAAAAACGAGAAAAATATGAACAGAAAAGTGATATTGGGGAGGCTGGGGATTTAGCTCAGTGGCATAAGTACCTGCCTTGCAAGCAGGCGGTCGTGAGTTCGATCCCCGGTACCGAAAAAAGGAAAAAGACAAAAAAAAAAAAAAGTGATACTGGGGTGACAGAAAAGTCTGGCTTTGAGATTTTTAAAAATGTGCACCCCCTCCCAGGCCCCACTCATTGGTTCTCTGGATGAGAGTGATTGACAAGCCGCTGAGCCACCTGGGGCACCAGGACAGCCGTGTCTCTCCCAGAATCCACTGATTCAATCATACACACGTGAGACCCGGTCTCTTGGTGTGACTCCCTGCTAAGTGCCAGGCGGGGGAAAAGGCTACTGGTGGCCAGGCCTCAAAACCTAGCAGGCATGCCTCTGCTCTGGAGGTTTGGGATTTCCTGGGTCTCGGCTATTTTTATCTCTGCTGTCTTTATTTCTGCAGTGGGAGGAGCACTGGCCCCGGGGTGAGGCCCAAATCCAGGTAGGTGAAGGGGAACGGTCTCCGGGCCCAGTGGGGCTGCTACCTGTGCTAGTTCTGGGCTGGAGCCTGGTGCCGTCCCAACGCCGAGTCACGCCTCAGCTCTTCTCCTGTCTCCTTCTTCTTCCTCTTCTTTTTGCTTTTCCTCGTTTTTTTTTTTTTTTTTTTTTTTTGGAACCAGGGATCAAACTCACAACCTCACACTTGCTGGGCGGGCGCTTAGGCCGCTGAGCTAAACCCCCAGCCCTTCCTCCTCCTTTTTTGAGACAAGGTCTTTTCTGAAGGTCAGGCAGGCTGTGAGCTCTCTTTCTAGCCCAGGCTGGTCTCGAATTTGCAGCCATCCTCCTGCCTCAGCCTCTGAAGTGCTGGGGTGACAGCTGGAGTCACCACGCCCGGCTCCTTCTTTTCTTTGAGACAGGCTTTTACCGTGTAGTTCAGGCTAGCCCTGAGCACACAATGTAGCTGGACTGACCTTGGACTCGCTGATTATCCTGCCTCAACCTCTGGAGAGCTGGGATTATAGGTGTTTGCCACACACCCAGCTGCTTTCACTTTTTGAGACCAAATGTCATTAAATTGTCCAAACTAGCCTCCAGTTTGTCTTGGCCGATTCTTTGCTCAGGATAAAAAGGGACTCAGCTGCCTGAGTACCTGGGATTATAGGTGTGGGCCACTTTGATTTTGGCTCTTTAAAGCCGACCTGATAATTCTGTTTGTAGTCTTAAGAAGGGAAAAAGGCCTCAAAAGCAGTAGATATTCACAGGAAGAGGTAGAATTGAGAACCACACAAATGTATGAGAGAGGGCTGGGGATTTAGCTCAGCGGCATAAGCGCCTGCCTTGCAAGCAGGCGGTTGTGAATTCGATCCCCGGTACTGATAAAAAAAAAAAATGTATAAGAGAAAGACCAACAGTCCCAATTTTCTCCTACGGTCCTGTAGTGTTACTGGGTGTTAGCATCTCATTCTAGAAGTAGTTTCTAGGTTCTTTCTGGCCTAGGCAAATAATTGGTCATCGAGACAAGTACAAACAGTGGTAAGGTTTTACATTTATTAAAGATAGGCAAAGAAAGAAACCCACAAAAAACCGCAAGCTCTGCAGAGCAAGTTTGGGCCAAGTAACACTGTAAAAGCAGCCCAGCCCACGGGGTAAGAGCGGCCACCCCGTCATAGCTCCTGCCCCTCGGCCTGGCACTGGGCATCCCACAGCCAGTCTGCTCGGGACGTCCGTGCAAAGTTTGGGGATTGTTCTGCACATGCGTCCTGGAATTTGTGATCAATAGAGCCTTCCTACTTCCCTAGCTAGTCTGCCATGGCCAGGTCTCCTGCCTCAGTTTCCCCTGAGACACACATACCCCATAGTTCATCATGGGACGCTGAGGGGGTGGACTTCTCTCACTTCGTGTAGCCTTTCCCTGCAGAAAGTGGGTGCGGGCTGTGCCTACCGGGGACCGTGTGCTCTCCACCTGCCTTGGGGTGTTGTGGCTCACTGAGTGGCCGAGGAAAAAGAAATCTGTCAGAAGACAACGAGAAAAGAGAGGTGCGTTGAGTGTGGAGTGGGAATGCAGGGCCCAAACATGAGCTCAGATTTCCATGCTCCCGGTGAGGGAACAAGCATGGAGAAGAGGGGTGTTGGCTACATTACAGAGAGCCCGAGAACTGTGGCCTGAGCAGGGGTATCCACAGTATGGGTCAATGATAAAGCAGGAGCCTTAACCTGGGTACCAGTTTACACGATGGTGAATCAGCCAGCACGGTGCACACGACTACCATCCCAGCACTCAGGAGGCTGAGGCAGGAGGATCATCATGAGTTTGAGGCCAGCCTGAACTGCATAGCAAGACCCTGTCTCAAAAAACAAAGCTAACTAACTGAATGAATGGATGGATGAACTGTGGTGAATTGAGGTTATTAGTGACTTGACTTACCTATATCCAGAACGGCACTGGAGTCGCTTTTTGAAGCAGCAGCCCAGGGCTTCGAGAGGTTTATAGGAGGAACTTTCTTCCTAGTCTGTGAAAATTCTAGTGACCACTGTCCAGGTGAGGTTTTTATAGCTTTCCACTGCATTCCTTGAGGAAGGACCTTGGTTCTCTTGCTCAGAGACTGGCAATCAAAAAGGCCAGGGTCTGAAGAGGCTGTCAGAGTGCCCGTGTTGCCAGGCACCAGCCTGTATTCCCAGCGCTCAAGAGGCTGAGGCAGGAGGAGGATTGCTGAGAGTTTGAGGCCACCTTTCCTACATAGTGAGTTCAAGGCCAGCCTGGGCTGCCTAGTAGTATCCAGTCTCAAAAATGTGTCCTTTCCTCTCTATGAGCCTTTTGGTTTCTTAGATTTAGACATGTCTCTTTGGCGTCCCTTACAATGAATGACAGCAATCTGCCTGAGAAAATAGACTGCCTCAGGAGGGGTGGAGTTCCCTGCCTGTGCTTTATGGATGATGATTACTTAGAAGCCCCTCTCACTTTGGATTGCTGCATGGTCACGGAGCACCAGAAAGGGACATTTAGGGTCTGTGGTGGGTTGAAAACCAATGGTCAGCTTAAACACCGGCTGAACTCAATCCGCGTGGTGCTGAGTGTGGATGGCCCACCCGAGGGCTGCTGCCAGCATAGAAAGGAGACCCGCAGAGGTACAGGTGTTGTTCTTTGGTGCCATTGGTTCTCCTGTTGCTGTGGGTTCTCCTGGCGGAGGCCGTCCAGCTTGTTTCCTATCAGCTTGTGTGTTATCATCAGAGGAGCTTGGGGCCTTACTGTCAGAGAATGGCTGCGGTTCATTTTGGGGGGGCTCCCGTCCTTCCGTTCCTGCTTCCCGGCTCCGATGTGTGCTGTTCAGTCTCCTGGAGAAGCTTGTCACGATGGCTTCCTGATGGGAACTCGGCTGTCCTCATTTTCAGAGGGGCTCAGGACCTCCGTGTGGCTGAGGGTGGCTGTGGCATTTTCCGGGGAGCTCTAGTCCTTCCTTTGAGCATTGCTTCCTGGCTGCAGTGCAAAGCCCTCCACCTGCTGGCACAGCTCCTTCATTCTGCTGGCACAGACTTTCTAGCTTCCACTGCTGACCTTTGGGCCTTTCCAGCACAGATCATTGAAATCTAAGGCTCTGAGTCTTAGCTGGACTCATGCAGGACCAGGCCCTCAGCTGGATTCCTTAAGCTTAGCATGTGGACAGATTTTCTGCACTGTCATTGTATCGGACTCCTTGGGTGACCATTATAAATAATACTGCAAATTGTGTGTCCTGTATGTAATCGTTTTCCTTGCAACCCCTGACTACCACAGTCTCTACAGATACTTTACTTCTTGACTTTTCCTAATATCAATGCCCAAGTAAAAGGTGCGAGCTCTGCTTTTTGAGTAGAGGCCTCTGGGGGTAGGGGTTTGGCCTTGATGGTCTGCTGCAAACTGACAGCTGTATGACCTGTCTTTCTTGGACAAGGCTGCTTCCATCAGTGAAGCCCACCTTTCTGGGGTCTCGGAGGGACAGGTTTCCTACCTGGAAATCTCCTGCAGCATCAAAGAGGTAGGAGGTAGAGTACTCTGGGTCTGTATTGTAAAGTTGGGGTATCTGACAGCATGGCCAGGAATAGTCCCATTTGTTTTGGCCTTGGCTGACATTGGGAATTGACCCTAATTTTGCTAGTAAATTCCTTCCTATAAGGGAGTAGGACACTGTCAGCCACTTAAACACTCACAGTTAAACCTGTGACCTTTAAGGTGACACGTCAGAACAGGAGTCAAGAGGCACTGATAGGTCTTTGCTCAACCCAAATATGGCTACAGATGTGGAGGAGGGTTTCTAGGGAAGACAGGTAAAATGCAAGATGAAAGAGTTGCGTTGCTTGGCCATGACCTCCAGTGTCACCAGGGTCTCTCACAAAAGATGGAGATGTCTGTGGAGAGAGCGGTCCAGGCCCCTCTGGGCCTTCCGGTCCTCACCAGGGCGGGAGGGGAGGTTTGGGCCTGCCTGACCCCTCT